TGCTCCAGAAGTATTTTGAAGAAGTCACACGAAAGAGAGTCGCCTTTTCTCATTTTCAACGACAGTTTGCACAGCCGTATTAGTTTTGCGGGGATACCACATTCAGACATCGTCGCATAAAGGCAGCTCCTTTTCGAGCTGTCGAAAGAAGCTTTGAAATCGACGAACGTGTGATGAGTGTCGATTCTCCTTTCACGGGTCTTTTCCAAGATTTGGCGCATGGTGAATATCTGGTCGGTTGTTGATTTTCCAGGTCTGAAGCCACACTCATAAAGTCCAATCAGTTTGTTGATGGTGGGATTTAATCTTTCACACAATACCCTCGACAGAACATTATACGCGATGTTGAGGAGGCTTATCCCATGGTAGTTGGCGCAGATTGTGGGGTCTCCGTTTTTGTGGATTGGGCAGAGCACATTTAAATTCCAATCGATGGGCATGCTTTCGCCCGACCATATTTTACAAAAAAGGTGATGCATTCTCCTTATCAGTTCTTCGTTGACGTGTTTGAATAACTCGGCCGGCAATCCATTGGCATCTACCGCTTTGCTGTAATTACTATATGAACTTCTTCATGGTCGGGCAATGAAACGTCTGCTCCATCGTTATCGATTGGGGAATCGGGTTCGGCTTCTCCTGATATTGTACTTTCACTGCCATTCGGTAGGCTGGAGAAGTGTTTCCTCTATAATTTTAGTATGCTCTGAGCATCGGTCACTAGATCATCTTTAAAGGTTCTACGACAGTATGCTCCGGTCTTGAAACCTTCTGTTAATCGCCGCATCTTTTCGTAGAATTTTCGAGCATTACTCTTGTCGGCCAGCTTGTCAAGCTCTTCATACCTACCATTTCGGCCTCTTTCTGTTTTTGTCAGCAAATGCTTCCTGCTTCCCTCTTCAACTCGCGGTATCTATCTCATCCCGACCCGCCATTCCTCGTCGTACCAGCTGTTCTTTTAGATTTTCCGAAAACCAATGGTCTCGGTTGTAGCTGTTCGTAAGGGGCTTGAAATGCCGCCCCACAGTTACCATATACCGCGTTGTTGACTAGTGCTCTCAGGGAGCAGAACAGCAGGTCGAGTGGAAAATCGTTTGTTGTGATTGGAGCTTCTAGACGTCGAAACTTTCTTGTGTTTGTTGAAGTGCGTTTTTTCCTGCACAGGGACGGGTGCGAGTCTTGGCTGCAACAAGATAGTGATCCGAGTCGATGTTAGGACCTCGGAGCGTACGCATGTCTAGAACGCTGGAGACGTGTCTATTACAACATTGTTAATTTGGTTGGTGGCTTTTCGATCCGGAGACAGCCAGGTAGCTTAGTGTATTTTCTTATGCTGGAATCGAGTACTACAGGTTCCCATATTTCGGGTCCCGGCGAAGTCGATCAATCTCAACCCATTTTCGGATATTTCATCGTGGAGGCTTACCGACTTTTGCGCGAAAGATACCTTTTTCGTCCACCCTGGCGTTAAAGTCGCCAAAAACGATTTTGACATCGTGACGGGGCAGCTTTCATAGATGCGCTCCAAGCGCTCATAGAGGGCATCTTTGGGGCCATCGTCCTTTTCTTCCGTCGGGGCGTGGACGAAATTCAGCGATATGTTAAGTGACCTCGCTTTGGATGCGGAATGTGGGTAGACGTTCATCCACTGGAGTGAATGATAGTATTCGACTACGTCTCTCTCTCACCACGAATCCCACACCAAACTTGCGCTCCTTTAAATGGCCACTGTAGCAAATGCCACAAGGTATTACTTGCCTTAGCCCTTGTCCCGTCTTGACAATACAATTAGTATTATCTGGACTTGCATAGCAGTACGCCTACGTACAAAACCCTTTTCTCCGGCTGCGTTAGCTTGTATTTGGACATGAGGGATCGCCGTTAGGTATTACTTCGGAGGACCAAGCTGGAGAAGAATGGCTCTTCACAAACTCCTTTCGGGATAATTTAGCCTGTCTTAAGCTTCTTCGCTGTCGTTCTCTTATACTGAGTTCGTGGATCGCTATTGCGGTCCACTCTTTCATTTTCGTCCATACCAAGTTTGATTGCAGCATGTGGCTTATAATGTTGTCAGGTTTTATCGGGCAAAAGAAAAATATATGCTCGGCGTTTTTATCGGCACTGCTGCAGAATGAACATTTTGTGTTATCGTCGTGGCCGAATCTGTAAAAGTATTCCCTAAAACAGCCGTGGCCTGTGAAGAATTGCGTCAGAAAAAGTCTGTCTCCACGTGTTATATCTCAATCCAGGCTGATACGTTCTTAATGAGCTTGTTCGTTCATCTTCCATTTTCTGTCGCGTTCCATTGTCTTTGCCACTCTTCGAGGCTCACCTGCCTCTCCTCTTTTCGCTCGTCAGTCGTTAGACCGGGCCGCATACATCAGGGTTGACTGACTGACTTTAGCTAGTAAGACTCTCCAACATTGACTAGGGACACCAGAGTTAGCCATTATTATTGACAGGGTCGCTGTCACTACAGCTGCTGTGCTGCGTTGCTCCAGTGACGACACACACAAATTGACATTCACCGATCCAAACGGGGTTAGATTAGCAGACAGCTACTAGTTCTCCTTAGCAGATATCGCGGCGTGCTTCTTTTCTCTAAAGCCCTAATTATATGTGGCCAGGATGTAGAATTAAAAGCATTTTTCACGTCAAGCATTTTTCACGTCAGGTGTGACAACTGCGCAATATTTTTTAGCACCATGCATCCACCTCGTTCCCTCTATAGCCTTGGCCGTAATGTCCGTTAATTTTCCGAATTGGTTATCAGACAAGCCAGGCAGCTCCAAACGGGTGCAGATCAACTTCTCCAATATTTTGGCCATCGCTTGCCCGCCGGTTTGTTTGGTTTCTGGAGGAGGACCAGGCGCTGCTTCTTCCGTCGTATCGATAATACAAAGTGGTTGATACGCATTTGGCTTCCGCGCTGGTTTCTGGGGAGGATCAGGCCCTGCTACTTTCATACTTTAGGAAAACACCTTCATTTAGACACCGAGAAAAAATTTCAGCGAAGGCCGTCTTGCTATGTTTAACTGCAATCTTAAGCGCCTAGTTTTTCCGCCACTTCTACTACCTCCTCCTCGTCGATTGACTAAAATTCTGCTCTTTGCTGCTTTTGCGAAGGGAAAGGCCTTTTCACCACCTTTTCTAGCAGTGTTGCACAAGTTCGTGCCTGGTTTTTACACCTTTGACTTTTGCCATTATTATTTAAGGCACCGCCTCACTAATTTTCATCTACGTTCTCGCATAGTTATTTGAAGCTTAAGGTCTTATTTCTTTTAATAGCCTTTTTGAACTAATTTGCATTGTTTTAAAGTATTCTCGCAGCCTCGTGTGTTCTGGCGTACCTAAGCTTCTTTGGGAGAGGCGCCTCGCTTTATGACACTCGCTTCTTAGTGCGCTAATCTTCTCGTACCAACAGTATGCGGGCCTTCGAGGTGCGTTTTGTCTTTTTCTACACATGGTCGCGTCGCAAGCTTTACTTACGTGACTTTCAGCTTGTTGGTCAGTCAGTCCAGCTACCCAATTTTCATCCAGCATGAGGTTGAAGATGTTCCCATCTAGCGTTTCCACCTTCCATCTCTTATTCCGTGGATTCTTTAGACTGCCTTGGTTTTGCTGCTTTCATGCATAATGACAAGGCGATAGCTTTCCAATGTGCAGATCGATCCAGTGAGTTTCTGGCGAACGTAATATCTATAATTGATCCGCGGCCATTCTTCTCGAAGGCATTTATATCTCCCGTATTTAGTAGCACAGCATCAAGTAAGACGAACGTTTTGAGCAGAGCATTACCCCACCTGTTTCTCTTCCTACTACCCCATTTGATTTCCCACGCATTAAAGTCGCCTGCTATCACATTTGCTGTAGTTGTAAGGACGTCCTGGACTAATTCATCGAGGATCTGTTCATAAACACCTTGTAGTTCACTCCTATGGAGGCAGCAGTTGTAGAAATAGAATATATAGATAGAATTTACCAATAGATCGTATCAATGTGAGTTCACCAAATCGAAGTGCATCTGACTTAATCAATATGGATATAAATTGTGAAGCGCAGTATTATACCGTCGAATAAAAAAACAATCGTCCCTGGTCACAGCGGTGAAGCAGTATAACACACTGAAGAAATTAACGCTTATTAAAAATAATCGCGACTGCTTCAAGATCCTTCTTTCGATACTTTGTCAAAACAACTTTTGATATTGGCAATAAACCTTTTGCTGTACGTGAAATTATTGCATTCTTTACAGATTAATTTCAGCAGAATCGTCAATTCTAAAAATATTCTTATCGATGTACACACAAAATATGTAAAAAATTTAAATGGTTAGTAGAAAGAGTAGTTTTGGGAGCAAAAAAATATTTAAAGGTAACTTATTGTCATATGTCTATCCCAAGGAAAGTGTGAATTGTCCAATTGAGTTTATGAATTCGTTGGTAAAGCTACGAATCGCCATGAATCATACAAATTAGGCAATTGAATTCAAACCCACTCAATTGCAGATTAGATTGGCTTTCACAATTCCAAACATTGTCGTTTTGTGGTTTACATTTGGGTACACCACGTTTTTCTCATACACAACTTAGGTGACATGTTCTCGTGAAGGAAAACACTCCAGTTTGTTTGTATTCGCTAAAGACAGACTGATCAAAAATAGTGTACACTCCAATGCTTTGAAAATTTAATCTTTCTTTATTTATATTAATTAGTTGTAGAAAAATTAGCTGTTTTCGATAGCTATCATAATTTTAACTTAATATACATACATGTACTTAATTACTGTAATAAAGAATAATTTTTTAACTTAAACGAAATATTCTTTAATAGTGTAGGGCTCTTCATTCTTCTTTCAATTATAAACACTTATAGTGCTAGTTATTTTTAAAAATCTTTCCTAAAAGTAACGAAAAAGTAAAACAACTTTTTCCGGGTCAGTTAGTATATCTATAAAACCAAAAGGCCAATTTAAAACATGTTAATTTCGACTTTTTCCCCAGATGAGATATATGGACAACATGAGCCGAGTCCCAAACGAATTTTAAAGGACCTCGACCGGAAGTGTAAACTTAATAGTTGTAATACTTGTATACCGAGTAATCTAAAAACTGGCACAGTTAATCAAACCAACAATATAAATGCTATTACCCAAGAAGGAACTCTGTTGCGTCAACGTCAACTTTGCTTTAAAAAACAAAATGAGATAAGTAACAGCAGTCAAGAAATTGACATATCGCGGGGTTCACTTCTCTACTACGGACCAAATAAAATCGTTGATAACATCGATCATGTAACAAACCATTTTTCGGAAAAATGTTTCGATTTGGTTCCTAAACAATATCATACGGCATCTTCATTACAGTAAGTATAATAATGCCTTTATACCTAAAATTAATTTAGTTAATGACGACACTGTGCTGCTTTACGAAAATTTTTTTATTTCACTTTTTGTTCATCCCTTTCATAAGTTCCGATTAAGTAGTAAAAAAGTAAGCAGTCAGATACGCTGAATGGTAAATTATATTATTTTATACAATCACAAGTTAAAGTGTATTTCTAGACATACTATATTATAGGTTGGTGTCGGAAATTTATCAGTTTATGAACTCTCCCAACATCTATATACTTATTATTATAAGTTTCAATAATATCAATATTGCGAAGTTACAATAAAATAATAAATGAATAAATAAATAATGAATCTTACTGACAATATTGTCTTGAGTTATAAATGATTGAATGAAATAGGGTCATGTCTTAGTCTATCTCCATATAATGATATGCGTTCCTCCTGTTGATTTTTCTTCATTCTGATCATTTTGATATATCTACATTACAATGTATAACAATGTATACATCTATCTTGACCAAGTGTAGGTGTTAAAACAACCGTTAGATGATCAAAATTATATTCTTTAGTAACTCTTATTACGTGAATTTTAGGCAAACACAATATTTAGTCAAAAACTGCGAGTATTATGAAACTGATGATATCAACAGTAAATCAACTGATATATGGCCAGATGCAACAGATAAAAATTGTTATGGTGATTGGCCATTAAGCAATACCAAAGAATCGATCGATAATAGCAAGAAAGAACAGTTATATGAATGTTCAAATGCAAACTCAACGATATATGTAACCCAAGTACCATCAACAACACTAATTCCTAAGAGTTACAAAATAACAAGCACTGATATTAACATTGATTTATTAACAAAAAACTTAAGCGGCGAACAAACTAAAAAAAGAAATGGTGGTACATTTATAAAAAAATTTAATTCAAGTAGTAATGAAGATTTCGGTAGACAGTTTTTGACAATAGAGGAAGGAAATCAAATCCAATCAGTCCAACAAATAATAAGCCGTTCAAAAACCATACCAAATGAATGCTACAAGGAAAGTAACGACAGCATTAAATCCAATATCAATGCAAAAGAACACGAATACATTAAATGCCAAAGCAATAATGTAGATAACTCATGTAACACAATTAATGCAAAAGTAAATAGCAGTGGGAGTAGCAGCAGTAGTACCGATAAACGTAATTATAGTAAAAGCAGGAGTCGAAGTAGGAGTAGCAGTAGTAGCAATAGTTGTAATTGTGATATAACGGGTGATAACAGTACACTGCATGGTTTTGGTGTTGGCGTATTAAGCAGTTTTTTGGGTGATTGTGATTCTGCAAGCAACACTACGCGAGCTCAACTGCCGTCAATATCTCATTCTCAGTGTCAAGATAATAAAACTGTTGAGCTTAGCTGGGACGTACCTCATCAGACATTTTTAAACCAAACAAGTAATCCTAATTGCAAATCTAGAGTTTTTATTGAGATAGAAACACAAGCACCATTAACAGAACTTAAAACGATTTTAAGACACGGCTCAGGCGATATCACCGACTGCGATAGTTGCAGCGAACTGCAATTATTGAATTCAAATGATTATAAAGCTGATTTAGATATTGATTGTGAGAGTTCCGAAGATAACATTATCGATATAGATTCGGAAAATTTGAATGTTGGCAACGTCATCGAGCGTGGAGGGGTCAACAACTTAAGAACTCGGTTAGACTATTTTAATGTAAAGAAAGAATTCCAGCCTTTGAGCCAATACAAATCGTTCGATTATTCATTAATAAAATTTTACGAACAAAAAAAAAAGGAAAACGAAGACAACGTTAAACATTATTTTGATATATCGGATACTTTTTTATCCGACCAACGTTCTAAAGATATTTTTAGCAACATGGATCTTGAAAGCAATCGAGAGCAATCAGGTGGATCTGATGGCGGAGCAATTAAGCGTACAAACAATAATAGTTTAGCAACTAAAGAAAATTTTGAAAAAGGACAGACAGCTGCTTACCCAACATTTGGTAAGTTTGAAAAAAAAAAAACATTTATATGTGTATTAATTATAAACATTATAAAATATAAAATTTTTAGTTAAAGATGTGAGTCTAAGTTTCCTAAGTGTCGGTTCACTCACGAAGACTTTTATCGACCAAACGGGTTTTGGAGGGACTTTGCTCTATGTTCTTATACGTAACAACAAGTTCTCTCCTACACAATTTGGCATTACTTTTATTGTGAAGTGCTGAACACATAGAGCGCGACACGACATGGTAGCATAACAGTGAATTGTAAATGGCGTCGGGAATCCTTCTACATGAACATTTGTAAGAAGGCAGCGACATAACAATGGCCGGCACGTCGGCACGTACACAGTTGTGGCCATACTAATACCTTTCACTTCAATGAAAGTTTAATATTTTGTTCCAAGTGAAATTTTGTATGCAAAAAATAATTAAATAGGTAAATTGTTTTGTACTTAATTTTCAATTGCTATTGCAAATGATATAACAGTGCTATATTATGCTTTTATTTGTAAAATAACGTCAGGTTTGTTAAAGCTTTGAATAATTTTACATATTAATGGCATCATTCCTCTCTATTGTTAAGTCTACTGTCCTACTGCCGTTGGCAAATATAAGAATATCTTAAAGTTAGCGAGAGCGACAACTGTCAGCCTGCAGTCTTGTTTATTATTATTTTAATATTTGACAGATGTCGCTTCAGTCTGTCGCTCTCTATGTGTTCAGCACTTGAGAGTCTTTTTCATGTTGCACCTGTGCTTGGTTTCAAATGCATATTTACAATTTGCAATATGGTCGGATTGTATGTATACTATAAATACTGGCAAATACTTGTAAGTCAATGGTCGGCATTTCTTATAACAGGAACGGTGAAAAACGTAGAATCGTGGACCGACTCAGCTGATTCGACCTATTCGATGGACGCGCAATGTAAGTGCACATTAAAAACGCTACTCTCTTCTCTCTTTGACGTAGGATGACGTGAGAATTCCCGGCATTTGGATTTTTGCCGTGGAGACGTCGCAGTTGATTACTCTCTCACAACGCTGTAGTAATTATCAACTTTTATAATTCAATCTGTTCAATATGTTTAAAATTTACCTAAAATAACTCAAAATTGGAGTCAGATGCTATTATTTATAAATATATAAACTATTTTTAATAGTTTGTTTTCAGTTTTGATATTTTATATTATAAAAGATTGTAATTGAAAACATAGATGTGTACAAAACTATATATACGTATGGAGCAATGACAACATTGTGCAAATGAAAACAAACAAAGATGGCTGAATTCTGCGTTTTTGCCACGTTTTTCACTGTTCACTCATTTTGCCCATGAGGAAGGAAAAGGAAGGAAGGCAGTAGCGTTTTTCACTGGTTCTGCTATTAGCAAAATTATTTAGCAGTCGTTGTCATAGATAACTTGATCAGAATCTCTTTTCTTGCTCTCTCACTTGTCAGCTGGCAGGGCACCCTGATCTGTTTTCTGAGCTGGCAACAAAACACAATCAGGGTGCCGTCAACCAGCAGTTAGTGAAAAAGGAAGAGCAGCGCTATAATTACTTGACGAAATTAGTGTGAAATGAAATTTCATTGATAAAATGTTTATGTAAATTAATTAATGATTTTGCATTTTAGCATTTATATATGTTTGCATTTTCAAAGCGTTTAATTTAGTGTTTTGTATAATTTATTAAATACCCAAGCTAATATTTTTCAGCAGTGGCATCCTTGGCAAATTTTATAAAAAAATGCGAGTTTGGACAGCTCTCCCTCGAACCAAAGAGTTTCGTATCAAGTTATCTATGTCGTTGTCGAGCAACGAATTAACATCGCGTAAGACTTTAGCGCAAAACCAAATATGCTCTGCGAGAAATATTTTATGATTCTTAATGCCTTTGGTGCCATGCAATGCCTTTTATGTTCCAAGTCTTTAAAAGATGAAAGGGAATATATCCTTAAAAGACATTTTGTTAATTTTCATTATACTATTAATTATTTAGATGAAAAAGAACGAAAATATCTTTTTAAAGAAAAAAATATATTTTTTTGCAAAAAAATATCTGATTGGTTATGTAAAAACGAATACATAGGTTATTTAGATTAGAATTTTATTGAAGAATAATTTATTTTATAATGTTGCTTATAAAATTTGCTTAATTTTAATTCCAATTTCTCACTGGGCTACTTTTGTTTCGTGCTCACCACTGTTGTAAGTCCAAAATAAAACACATGTTATGGTATGATAATGATATGAAATATTTATGATGAAAATCTAATATAAAACTATAAAGTATGGCTGCAATTTAGAATAGCATCCCCCGATTACGGGGTTAAAATGGCTATGTACGGATAGAGGAGGTGCTCCAGACCAAGAATATATACTGACTTATGGTTTTCGAGATATTTGCATTTAAAGTTCAAAAAATCAACTATTTAAAATGCGTGTTTCTCTGATTTATAACGCATTTTATATTTATATTTTATATATTTATATTCACTAACACTTCACTATTTCGTTTCTAGTTAATTATTTTATATTAAATAGTGCCGAAATAACTTTAATTCCATATTAAACTTAAGTTAAAATCCATTTATTAATAAAATAAGAAAATGGTTGTAAACAAGCAAAAATTAGTGTTACCATAATAAAAAAATAAAAATAAAAAAAAAGAAAGATTATGACGCCATAACTTAATTCTTTATCGTGAGATGAGTAATGTCAAATCTTTCAGAATCCTCATTATCTTGATAAAGTGTTAGTGTATATAAAAGTTAAAAATATGACTATAAAATTCATTATAAATGGGAGAAACACGCATTTTAAATTTAAAGCAAATATCTCAAAAACCATAAATCAGCGGCAACTATATATATATATTTTCTTAATCTGGAGGACCTCCTCTATTCATACATACTAATTGTAACCCCGAATTCGGGGGATGCTAAAATTTACCCTAAAATATTTTTGCGCATCGCGTACACTCCATGTTCAAGGATTTGAGATGTGATGTGATAGGGAATGCAAAAAATTGTCCGACTCAAAGTTTCGGGCTTGTGTCGGTCGACTATGAGCGACTAAAGTCTTCGTGTGTAAACTCAGTCTAATTGTGTATCTGTAGAACAGCGAAAAATGTAGGAATCCATTTTCAATAGTAAATTTGTTAAAAATATTTGATGAAGTTCAATATAATACTGAAACCATTGCTGATAATGGCATTAACCAATCCTATTCTTTGAAATGTACTCGCATAAATTTTTAGCAAATGGACCTTTTGGAACTGATGTTAATCTTGGGACATCAAACATTCCTGACACGATAAATGGCACAACAATTGCCGGTGGAATAAACCAGCAAAAGACAGTGACTAACACGACTACGCAAAAGCGGCCGCAAAGACGAGGGGGGAAGCCACAACCTGATCGACCTCAACGTGTTTTATTTTGTTTGGGGGTAAAAAACCCACTTCGGGCATTATGTATCAGTATAGTCGAGTGGAAGCATCCTTTTCAATTATTTATATTATCTTAAAAAATAAAGATTATTTACTAATGTACGTGCATGAGTATTACATATGAATCTCACGTGATTTTCCTATATATAAAAACATTTAATAATTTACAGACCATTCGAGTATTTGATATTGTTAACTATTTTTGCGAATTGTGTTGCCTTGGCGGTTTATACCCCTTATCCTTATAGCGATTCCAATGTAACTAATCAGGCTTTGGTATGTTTTATGATCACAATACGTATGTAGATACTTATTTAATTACAAGAATCTTTATTTTTTACAGGAAAAGATAGAATACATATTTTTAGTAATATTTACAGCAGAATGTGTTATGAAAATAATTGCTTATGGATTTCTACTACATAGCGGCTCGTATTTGAGAAATGGGTGGAATATTTTAGATTTTTTTATTGTGGTTATAGGGTAAGTGATATATCCTTTCTATTCTTATTTTGACTTCTTGACGCGCACAGATTTTGTGCGCTTTATTATCATCAATTGACATTATAACTTGAATCGAATAATTTTTGTTTCAACACTGGAAATATCGAAAATAAAATAGCAAATTTAAAATTATCGGGATGAGTTTTAGCTCCTAATTTATCAAAAATATAATATGATAAGGTATATTAATGTTATCAGATATTAATCAATGCTATAAATAATAATATCCATTTTTTTATTCTCAATGTCTCCTTTTTATCATATCATACACACATATATGTATGGATTATATAAACTGTTTGAGAAAGTCATGATATCTTTTCTTTAGAAAATATCAAAAATTTAAACATTAATTTTACTATGGATAAGTTCCTAAAACATTAAAAAAATATTTTCATTGTGTTATGTATTCCTATTCAGAAAGAAATTTGTGTTGAAATAGTCCAAAATAGCACTCGTTGACAAGAAATTACGGTGTTCTTTTTTACTTTCATGGAAGTCCAATTCCATCGCTATTGATTTCTTGCTGGGGAATCTCTCTAACCTCTCCCTTACTTCACCTTTCTTCTTCTTTACTGGCGTAGACACCGCTTACGCGATTATAGCCTAGTTAACAATAGCGCAGTAGTCGTTTCATCTTTTTGCTACGTGACGTCAATTGGATATTCCAAGCGAAGCCAGGTCCTTCTCCACTGGGTCCTTCCAAGGGAGTGGAAGTCTTACTCTTCCTCTGCTTCGCCCGGCGGGTACTGTGTCTAGTACCTTCAGAGCTGGAGTGTTTTCGTTCATTCGGATAACATGACTTAGCTGGCGTAGCCGCTATCGTTTAATTCGCTGAACTATGTCAATGTCGTCGTATATCTCGTACAGCTCATCGTTCCATCGAATGCGATATCCGCCTTGGCCAACGCGCAAAGGACATTAAATCTTTCGCAGAACCTTTCTCTCGAAAACTTGGACCGTCGACTCTTCAGTTGTTGTCATCGTCCAAGCCTCTGCGGCATATAGCGGGACGGGAATTATAAGCGCCTAATACAGTTTGGCTTTTGTTCGTTGAGAAAGGACTTTACTTTTCAATAGCCTATTCAATCCGAAGTAGCACCTGTTGGCAGGAGTAATCCTGCGTTGGATTTGCAGGCTGACAATGTTGGTGCTGTTAATACTGGTTCCTAAATAGACGAAATTATCTACAACTTCAAATTTATGGCTGTCAACGGTGACGTGAGAGCCAAGTCGCGAGTGCGACTGTTTGTTTGATGCCCGGAGATATTTCATCTTGAACTCGTTCACTGCCAGACCCATTAGCTTTGCTTCCTTGTCCAGCCTGGAGAATGCAGAACTAACGGCGCGGTTGTTGAGACCGATGATATCAACATCATCGGCATACGCCAGCAGCTGTACATTCTTATAAAAGATTGTACCTGCTCGATTAAGTTCTGCAGCTCGAATTATTTTGTCCAAAAGCAGGTTGAAGAAGTCGCACGATAAGAAGTTGCCTTGTCTGAAACCTCATTTGGTATCGAACGGATCAGAGAAGTTCTTCCAGATCTTCACGCGGCATGGTTTTGAGGCCATAATTTAAGTATGCTCTGGGCATCGGTCACAGAATCACTTTTGGGGGTTCTACAATATTATGCTACAGTCTTGAAACCTTTATTAGCCACCGCATTTTTTCATAGATTTTTCGAGCATTACCCCCAGCTTGTCTATTTCTTCATACTGACCATTTCGGCTTCTTTGTGTTTTTATCAGCAAATGCGTCCTGCTTCCCTCTCCAACTTTCGGTATCTATCCCTTTTGGATTTTCCGAAAACCAATGGTCTCGGTTGTAGCTGTACGTAAGGAGCTTGAAATGCCGCCGAGTTGTTGACTAGTGCTCTCAGAGAGCAGCACTGCAAGTCGAAGGGAAAATCGTTCGGCTGTCTGTTCTGTGATTGCAGCGTCTCGACGTCAAATCTTCCATATGTTTGTGGACGTGCGATTTTTGCTCAACATAGGAGGGTGCGAATCTTGCCTGCAACAAGATAGTGCTCCGAGTCAATGTTAGGACCTCGGAGCGTACGTACATCTAGAACACTGGAGACATGTCTTCCGTCTATCACAATATGTTCGATCTGCAGACAGGTAGCTTGATGTATTTTCTTGTGCTGTAATCTAGTATTGCAGATAACCATATTTCGAGCCCCGGCGAAGGCGATCAGCCTCAACCCATTTGGGGATGTTTCGTCATGGAGGCTGAATTTACCAAATCTTTGCCCGACCTGGCGTTAAAGTCCCCAAGCACGATTTTGACATCGTGGCGGGGCATCTCTCATAAGTGCGATCCAAGCACTTATAAATGGCATCTTTGGTCACATCGTCTTTATCTTCCGTAGAGGCGTAGCCGCAAATCAGCGATATGTCGAAGAACCTCGCTTTGATGCGGATTATGGCTGGATGTTCATTCACCGGAGTGAATGAAAGCACTCGGCAACGGAGTCTGTCTCCCACCACGAATCCCACACCAAACTTGCGCTCCTTTATATGGCCACTGTAGTAAATGCTACAAGGACTTACTCGTCTCTGTCCTTGTCCCGTCCATCGCATTTCTTGGATGGCGGTGATGTCAGCCTTTAATTTCGTGAGGACATCAACCAGCTGGGAAGCGGCACCTTCCCAATTAAGGGACCGGACGTTACATGTGCATGCCCTCAATTCGTAGTATTGCGTTTGCCATGGTCGTCACCAAAAGGGGGGTCTCTTATCCGAGGCTGATTGCTAATTTTCAATGGCGGTGTTTTTTTTACGTGGCTGCCCAGAGGATACTTGGTCAGAGACCGGAAGTCGTGAGCTGCTTGAGCCATTTATAAAAGAATCATTTCTGGCCATTCCCAAGTGAATGGCGATCAGCAAACTTTCCTCATTTGCGTGAACTTCTATACAATACTCCATCCTCCTTACGTCACCTTTACCTGGTTTTAAAACGTGATCAGTGACTTGTGTAAAGTATATTGTCTTTGATTCGGCAAACGCTAGTCTGCAGCGAATCAAACCAACTATGCATGCGCCATAGCGTTATGAATGTTTCTTATTTTCTTCTATTTTGTTCTTCGCTAAAAAACGTTGTTTTAACACTTTAATTAGTAAAACTGATCTGAAATAAACAAAGCTACATATGTAATTTTTGTTAACAATATAATTGTATTACTAATGTATCGTTTACTTTCATATACAAATTCACATAAAAGAAAATAAGAAATTTAATATTACTTATATTTTCAATACTTTTTGGTAGCATGATAAGTACTGTTCTTTCACATCTTATGAAGGAAGGCTTCGATGTAAAAGCGCTTCGAGCTTTCCGAGTGCTACGACCTCTTCGACTTGTTTCTGGAGTTCCAAGTAAGTTATTTTTTTTTTTAAATTAATATGACTAATTGAATAATATTAATGATATATAATTACTTCAGTCGACGAATTTTTTAAAACTAACGGTTGCACTTCTAAAGCTGGACTGAACATTAGAAACCCGTCTGTATTTAGAAGTATAAATTTTAGTAAATTTCTTTTCCCTCGGTGTACCATTTAATACATTCGAAATCCGTCGATATTAATTATAATATATGACTTTGTTAAATTTTATTGTACTTATTTTGCTTCGGTATACCATTTATGTAAAAAGAGATACATAATAATGTATATATATGTACTATACGAGGTGTGTTCAAAAAGTATCGCGAATTTTGTGTTTTTTTTTCAAAAATTATTTATTTATTCATTAATATATATTTTGTCCCCTTCAAAGTAATCCCCATGAGATATTATACGTTTGTGCCAACGGGTTTTCCAATCTTCACAGCACTTCAAAAATAATTTTTTTTATCTTCTTCAGCTCCTCCGTCTTTATCTCGTCAAGAGAAGCATAACGTCGTCCTTTCACGGGCTTCTTCAGTTTAGGGAACAAGAAAAAGTCACAGGGGGCCACATCTGGGGAATACGGTAGCTGCGGCATCATTAGTGTGTTGTTTTTGGCCAAAAAGTCGCGCACAAGCGACGATGTGTGAGCAGGGGCGTTATCGTGGTGCAAAAGCCAATTTTTGTCACATCTTCTCGCCCTTCTGAGAACATTTTGTACCACCGATAAACGTTGCTTCGGTCCAAGGTAGTTTCTCCGTATGCAACAATCAACATTCGGAATGCATCCGCGCACTTAATTTCGTTTTTCACACAAAATTTGATACAGGTTCTTTGTTCCATTTTTTTGAATGGGTAAAAATTGAGGACGATCCAAAACACGTGCAAGTAAAGCGAAATACGTAACCCGCGAAAATTCAAAATTCGCGATAATTTCTGAACACACCTCGTATGTTGCCTTTTAAGGGATCGTCTCAGTGTGAAATTTTCGAAAAATCGATTATTTGTTGTTTCATTATCGGATAGTATACTCTGTAGTAAACATTCTCTGAAATTTTGAAATCAAAATTCAAACTATCACGGTCACTACAGCGTTTCTTGTAAAAAGGGAACATAGTGGGGGAACGCAGCGACACAATCTTTAAATACGTTTTTCTCGGAATGGTGTTTTTCAAAATGGTTCCCACTCTCAAAGGAAGACTTTTGAAGATAGCTAATTCCAATTGGGAGAGAACTTTTTTAATGTCATTCTCTATCGCGCTATGTAACCTTGTTTTTGTTTTTTTATTTTTTGAAATCTCCCAAGTTTTTTCTACGAAAAATTATTGAAAAAAAGGGCCAAATTCGATACTTTTGGTTCAAACCTGCGCCATTTTGTCAAATTAAAAAAACAATCCATAGTGCGATAGCGACTTTCCTACAGATCAATAATCTTTTTGAAGTTTTTTTTTAGATCGAAATTATGGCTGAAAAAAAATTATCTGTTGCGTTCGCTTCACTTGTGTCCTTTTGTTTTTCTTTCATTCCTCGCCATGTGAAGTTGGCTGCCAAATCACGCAGGGTTGCCAACATTACATTCAATCATCTTGCTCATTTGTTCCAGGTGTCATATCTTCATCAACTTCGAAAAGTGCCTGAAGTTTCATATTATCCACGATAGTGTATGTAAACTTGGGTCCCATAAAATATGCTGCTTTCTCGACAACATATCTCTGAATGCGTTTAATTTCGATGACTCTACAAAGTCCATTAAATTAGAAGAGTAACGCTTTATTCGAAATATGAGTTACTTTTATTGCAACCAAATCTCCTCTTTGTTTTTCCGTATCTTTCTTTTCATTATTTGTCAAAGTTTCTTTTATACGATTCCTGAGCTTTCTGAATATTCGCCCTGCATTCTTCTCTCAGGGTATGACGATCCTCATGAAAGACCCTCAACAATTCTGAAGAAACGAATAGAAAACGAATTTAGATAAACCATAAAATAAATGGAAATTATAACTGTGCCCAAAAAATAAGGTGACATTGTGTTTATTTTGAAAATTCTTTATTTATTCTTCCAAAACAATTTCATCCCCTTCAAAGTAATCCCCTCCCGATGCAATGCACTTATGCCAACGGATTTCCCAATCTTCGAAACACTGGTTGTAGTCACTTTCCGGGATGGCCTTCAGTTCCGTCTTCACTGCGGCTTGAATCTCCCCTATCGTATAAAAACGGTGTCCCCGGAGCGGTCTTTTGAATACGATGGTTGCGGAACGATATGGGTTGAGTTTTAGGCGAAATGATCACGAATTACGAGGGCAGTATGGGATGGTGCATTATCGTGATGTAAAAACCAATAATTGTCTTTTCACAATTCCGGCCTTTTTAGACGGATAGCGTTATGCAAACGACGCATAACGTTCAAATAATATTCCTTGTTGACTGTTTGACCGGTAGGAAGGAATTCATAATGCACAACACCACGATAATCGAAGAAAACAGTCAACATGACCCTGATTTTTGAGCGACTTTGGCGCGATTTTTTTGGTCTCGGCTCTCTTTTGGCACGATATTCGCTCGATTGATCGGTTGTTTCGGGGTCCTAAGCATAGAACCAAGTCTCATCACCAGTTATAATGCGTTTCATGATACCCTGGTAGTCGGAAAGCATCGTTTAAAACACTTCAACTCGACGAATTTTTTCCAAAAAAATTCAATGTTTTCGGTACCAGTAGAGATTTGACGCGCTTGAGGCCCGAAACATCTTTCAAAATGGTATTGGCTGAGCCTTTCGATATGCCAACTTCATCAGCAAGGTCTCTAATTGTTAATCGTCGGGTTTTCAACACCAAATCTTTGATTTGTTGAACGTGAGCTTCGTCGGTTGAGGTTGATGGTCGCCCTGGACGCTCTTCGTCTTCGACACGTTCACGGCCGGCTTGGAATTAACTATACCACTTGTAAACATTTTTTTTTAGACATAGGTCCATCACCAAAGGCTTTCTGCACCATCCTCAACGTATCCGCAGCAGAAAATTGATCCCGTAAACAAAATTTAATTCAAATTCTTTGCTCAACAAATTTCGACATCGCAAAAAACGAAAAACTCGCTTTTAGCAGCTCACAAAACGACACGTACCTCAAACACTAATGAATATTTTGACATGAAATTTGACATAAATGTGACTGACAGTACTACCAACCTAAAAAAAATATTTCTCCAAATCCTTCGAAGCGCGCAGTTTAAATTCAAATGCCACCTTATTTTTTGGGCTTGAGTACTTCGACGTGGAACGTAAGATATCCAAATGATCGACATGGCTGCACTCAACTCAGTCGGACATATGCTGCTTCTTTTATTTCTAAATATGCTGTGATAATATCTTGTCGGATCGTGTGCATTGTTTTCAGAAAGTTTATGTTACCAAAATTGTAAACGTTTCGTATAATTTCTTTTTCCATATTATGCGGTACTACAAATAGGTCTCGTCCCTTCAATGCTTGTATAGTACCTCGGTTTTCATGACGTAATTCGCGTATGGTGTTTCGTTGAGAATTGCAGCTATCACTTTTATGTGATCATCATGTTGTTTGGCCTTCGAAATTGGTACTTTTCTGCGATGTAACGACCACAATTCTATAACGGCTTAGGCTGTTCTTCTCCTGCTCGATGTTCAATATAATAGATAAAATCTTGAAAAATCATAAACCAGTGAAGTTGTACCTTTTTCGCGGCAGTCTGATTAAACGCCGCACAATCGGTAACTAAATCATACTAAATTCTCATTGAATAATGGCGTAACTTCTTTTTTGCTAAGTACGCAGGTTGTACTTCGTGAAAGTAACAATGTGACTCTTCTTATTGGGGTGAGGTTTGGCGACTCCAATAAAATACAGGATGTCACTTTCTTCACGCTCTTCTACTAATGTCGTACGCTCTTGAATAAGGGCTGCCTTCAAATCAAGTAAAAGCTTACTGCTGCACATGACCAATCTGAAATTCTGCTATGCTATGCCAAGCAATGATATTATAATTTTGAATAAACTTAATAAAATATAGTTTACTTACTGCATGAACACTGTTGGCGACTTACAAAATCCCTAAGCGGTTTTCGCAAGGTTTACTTTACTATCTATGTCTGCGTTGGATTCACGAACTACACCAAGCCTTAACCACTCGTTTACTTGGCTCTTAACAATCTCATGCTCTGCTGCAGATAATCGGGTTGGACTCTCATAGAAAATAAAAAAATCATCTTTTGGTAGTATTTTCAGTAGAATAGGGTGATGACTCGTGTTAGCTAAAGGATTGTATTCATTAATTAATTACAATATTTATATATTCTGGCACCATCTCTATGATATTGCAGCATTTAAATTCGACCTCTTTGTGTATTCTATTTGTCTACTCGGGGAAACAATTTTCCAAGCATTAACTTCTAATTGGAATTACTGAACAAATTCATATTCCACAATAATTTAGTTGTTTATTTTATGATTAGATATTACATTATCAACTTCAACTTCTAAAGATAACACACCCCTCGCCGCTATCGCAATATTTCCCTGTCGGCCAGGTGGTCAAGCTCTTCGTACTACTGCGACACGGCACTTTTCAACTTACCAGCTGTTCTTTTATCTTTTCCGAAAACTAATGGTTTCGTTTGTAGCTGTGCGTAAGAAGCTTGATTTGCCATTTTTAACTACTTTTCAATTTTAATAGTCACGTCCTCAGACTAACATATTTCTACCTTACTGCAGCACTTTTATCAGCTCTAATAGAACGCTTGAATTCACCAAATTACAACACACGTTTGAGTCCTGCATTTCGACGTTTTCAACGGTTCCTTCCATTTCAAACAATTTTTTATTTTTTTCTGTTACTTCCTTCTTCTTTTTTTCCTTCTGAATATGGTTATCGTTCTTTCCAATATATACTTTCGAAGGTTGAGTTGTTATGTAAAAAGTGAATCATAATGTTTACGAGGTTCTATATAAAAATATAAAAAATTTATAGTTCACTTATTTCAATTTTATAAAAAGGAGATATCCGCTGGCTTCGTTTCATTCGTGTCCTCTTGTATTTCTTTCACTCTGCGCCATGTGAAGTTTGTTGCCAACATCATGCATTTATTGAAGATGAATACGAATGGTTATATAGTATGTATGGTTAAATGTCCTACAGGTAAGTAACAATGTGATGTGAAAATTTTCGAGGTAGGAAGTTCGGATTTTTGCCAAAAATTTTTGTAATATAGTTGACCATAATGTATGAATTTTCCTAATGTATGAGAATTTAACTCTCTTTCATATCTGCGAAAAAAACGATGAGACAGTTTAAAACATTAACAGTGATCTGCGTTTTAAGAAAATAAATAAATCATAAACATGATATGAGTTCGTATTTAATTTTATTTATAAATTTTGGAATATTGTTTTTATACATATAAAAGTATTTTTCGTAAAAAAAATCCAATTTGTGTTAGTATCCACGTTGTGGAAGGTGGCGAGTTTTCATTTACATTGAAACAGCAAGATTCCTCAAGTGTGATTAATAGAGATCAAAAACAACTACGTTGTCACTACGGAAGGGTCACTTGGACGTCGCTGACTAAATGAAGTATTACGTGTACGAGTGTATCTAATGTTCGATCTGCCCTTTTTATACTCTTGCAACCAGTTACTACAGAGTATAGTAGTTTTGTTCACCTAACGGTTGTACGTATCTACTAAAACTAATCGAAATAGATATGGGGTTATGCTTATATAAATGATCAAGATGACGAGAAAAGTTGAAATCCGGTTGACTGTCTGTCTGTCCGTCCGCTCGTCCGTCCGTGCAAGCTGTAACTTGAGTAAAAATTGAGATCTCTCGATGAAACTTGGTATGTTTGTTCCTTAGTACAAAAAAAATTTCGAGTTCTTGGATGGGCGTAATCGGACCATTGCCACGCCCACAAATCGCCATTCATCGAAAACATATAAAGTGCTATAATTAAGCACTAAATTACGATACAAAGCTGTAATTTGGTACAGAGGTTCTCAGTAGCAAGGGCCACCTGTGGGCAAAATGTTTTAAAAAGTGGGCCCGTTAATAAAGCTCCTAATAAGCTATAACAACCAAATTTATTGAGTACAGATCTTATAAGAACTTCTACCGATTGTGTAAAAATGGATGAAATCAGAGGATAATTCCGCCCACTCCCCATATAACGGCACTGTTAAGAACTACTAAAAGCGCTATAAATAAATAACTAAATGCGCTAGAGGCATTAAATGGTTCAAGATGGTATAGAAAGCTTTATAGAGTGAAAATTGGACATTAGGCGTGGTACCGCCCCCTTTTATAGTGAATTCCCATATCTCAGGACCTGACCAACCGATTTCGAAAAAAATTGGTACGTGGAATTCTTTTTACATTCCTATGTCACGTTGCGAAATCGGCCAATAACCACGCCTAATTTCCATATAGCACATTAAAGTCCACTTCATTCTTATACTTTCTAGTATAAAAATCAAGAAGCAATTAGTATAACGGGATTAAACTTTGCACGAATAATACCTTTAGTGTATGCCACCTTATGTCCAAAAATTGTTCATATCCAACAAAAACAATTCAAGCCCCCCAGGCACCAAATATTTGGACCCCAGTACCTATAGTTGACTTTTGATCGAAAATATCGGCGAATGTGTTAGATATATAGTACAAATTCAGGGATAGTACTTCTCTGACAATGGTGTGTCCGCATTTCAAAAATGAAATGAATACTTCACTTAGCCCCATATACCCAATATAAAGATAATGGAACTTCCGAGGGACTTCGTACCGCATATATTGACCAATATGTAAGTTATCTTAGTGAAAATGAGCTAGCGTGTTTTACTCATAACATTGTATCTTTGTGCCTAAAATAGATAGATTTAAGCGAAAACTAGTCATGACTTGACTATATAACTACTATCACAATTTTCGAACATCCGCATATCTTTACTCTATATGATTGCTTTTTAGTATATGACATGTTAATAGTATGTGGTATTGGGAACAATAAATAAAATCTGGTCGATACTACCCCAACTTCCATATACTACATATCATCACCTGAAATGTAAAATAACGTAACAACATTTTCGGAAATTTACAATGGCATGAATAAAACACGAAATAAAATGGAACATGAGTGAAAAAAAATTTTAATATTGGTTAAAACTGCAGAACCTGAAAATGTTGAACACATGTAATATTATGTATTTAATTAATGAAGCGTAATCAATAAGACACTCAATTTCGAATTTTTTATGATACGTTATTTTGAATTTCAGGTGACAATGTAATCGTTTTTGTGTCTCTAACTAACAGGGGTTATATATGTATTGCATGGTATATGTATATATAAAATTGCTTTGATTTCGATTCTCAGGTAGACGTTTTACACCATAAAGTATTTCCCTGGCTTTGATTCTTGTAAGTTGCAAGGGTATAAAATGTTCGGTTGCATCCGAACTTTGCCCTTCCTTACTTGTTTATTTATTATGTATGTCTAAATTGTGTTTCAAAAAAAAAAAATATTAATTTTAACCGCTATTCATTAAAGGCTTACAGGTTGTACTGAATTCGATCCTTCGAGCTATGATCCCACTTTTACATATTGCTTTACTAGTTTTATTTGTCATTATCATATACGCAATTATTGGACTAGAGCTGTTTTCTGGAAAATTACATAAAACTTGTCTTCGCCCAGATACTGGTTAGTCATTTACACTCCTGGCCACGCAAAACTTACCATTTAAAATTTTCAAGTGTTGTGCATATCTGACAACACTTTATAGCGGTACTTTTTGTGGTATAGAAAATGTTTGTTTAGAAATAAGTTAATGTCATGTTATTTAACAAAACTATTAAAAATTAAACACAAAACACATTCAGCTATAGACAAAATGAATTGAAAGTTAGTGAGGTTTACAAAATGAGCTAGAAATGTAAGAGACTGACATGCGATGATAAAATTAAATATTTTATTTTTTTAATTAATTTCATTTACACTATAATTGAAATTAATATTTTATTTTATTTTGATTTCAATTGAAACACGAAGTTTAGTGGCGTTATTACTTTACAAATAATAAAATCTTGCTTATTAAACGTGAAATATTAAAACTATAATTCTAATTAGATAATATAATTTAGTTTATTTATGCTTACTAAAAACATAGAAAAATAACAAAATTGAAGAAAACCCCGAACGAAAGAAAAAGTCTGAAAAAAAAAGTATAGTGGTAAGCATTGCGTGGCTACGAGTGTATATAAGTAAATAATAAATATTATTACATTTTGGTTAATTTACTTCGACTAATAAAGGTGAATATATGAAAGATGAACACCCCTGTGGTACTGGATTTCAATGTCAAGAAGGTTATGTATGTCATGAAAAATGGGACGGCCCTAATTATGGTATAACTAATTTCGATAACTTTGGTTTGGCTATGTTGACCGTGTTTCAGTGTGTTACTTTAGAAGGTTGGACAGATGTGCTATATAACGTAAGGATACTACTCACGCACAAACTTAACTTTGATATTAGTTTGTTTACATTCGTATTTATACAATAGATTCAAGATGCCATGGGTAGTACGTGGCAATGGATTTACTTCGTTTCAATGGTTATATTAGGGGCATTTTTCGTAATGAATTTAATTCTCGGTGTGTTGTCTGGTGAATTTTCAAAAGAGCGCACAAAAGCTAAAAACCGTGGAGACTTTCAAAAACTTAGGGAAAAACAACAAATAGAAGAAGATGTGCGCGGCTATCTGGATTGGATTACCCAAGCAGAAGATATTGAACCTGATGTCGATGGTAATTTAATGCAAGACGCAAAAACAAAACCGACCAACGAGGCCAATTCAATGGATCAAATGGAAGAGGAGGGTCAAGAAGTTCAAATATCTGAATCCTGGTGGCGTAAGAAAAAAAAAGATTTAGATCGTCTGAACCGCAGAATGAGACGGTCTTGTAGGAAAGCTGTAAAATCGCAAGCCTTTTATTGGCTAATAATAATGTTAGTGTTTCTGAATACCGGTGTACTTGCTACCGAACATTATGGGCAACCAATTTGGCTCGATAACTTTCAAGGTAACTATTCATTAAAATTTTATCCTCAATATAAAGTATAATTCTTATTACAGAGTATACAAATATTTTCTTCATTGGATTATTTACCTGTGAAATGATGCTTAAAATGTATAGTTTGGGATTTCAAGGATATTTTGTGTCGCTGTTTAATCGTTTCGATTGTTTTGTTGTGATTGGTAGTATAACGGAAACAATACTAACAAACACGGGTATAATGCCGCCATTGGGAGTATCAGTATTACGTTGCGTTCGACTTTTAAGAGTTTTTAAGGTCACAAAGTAAGTTAAGACTTTATTTATCATTTAGATCGAAACAATTCTACGCTTCCCATATATCCATTATAATACTTTTCGTTCAACTAGTAGACATTCCATATAGATTAGACTATTGAGATAGCATCATAAGGGAATGGTTTGCTAAGAATTATGAGATTTGATACCAATAATAAGTTAAAGCGGTCCGTCCTTTCCCCAAGCCTTTATGAGATGTTTTTACTGAATGATATTAATACTCGTACTTTAACGTACTTATAAATTTCGGATGCGGATCAAGATAATTTAATGGTGAACAGTTGTCAAGATGATGTGATAACAAAACGAGCACAATTTTTTTATGAATTTAGATTGTCTACTTTTGTAATAGTAATAAGCCTAGGTGGCAAAAAGGGATAAATTCGGGTCAATAAATCCCTTTAACACCGTATACTTAATGTGATGACTTTCAAACTTCTGTTTTTCTGTTAAATATTGACCCATCCAGTAAAATTAAGCGAAAGTACAGGCTTGTATATACTATACAATGGTTCCGTATTGAAATTTAATGAAATCGATTGCTGAATCTCCACAGTTCCTATGTATAGTTAACTATCACTGTTATTATATGTTTATAGACAATATTCAAATTTTGTCCACCTGTAATACCAACTTCTTAGGAAAGTCAGGGAACATCTTTATCAAGTTCTATAAAGATATCATAATTTTCTCCAATCTGTTATATTTCTCGACAAATTTTAGGTATTATGAACGCACAGGCCAACAGCTAATCTGGGGGGTGAGAAATTCCAAGTCAGGGTGATGGTACTAGGTCAGTATAGTAAAACCCTCAAAGGGTTTGGGGTTCGTATGTGTCAGTTTTTTTATGACCTTTTAAATTTTTTCCTTATTTCCCATGGTTTTCCATCTTAACAAATTATTTTTTTCCAATGAGGTGTACTAAATGGTTCAGATATACGAAAGCTGATTTAAAGTGACGTATTCAACAATATTTTGATTGATATATATTGAATGCATGGCAGGCAATCAAAGAAGTAATAGAAGGCTTGTTTAGAAAGCATTGTTCTAACAACTACGATGTTTCTGTCGCAAGGATGTTAAGAGCATTCTCGGAAATTGTGTTTTTTTTTTTGCCTAAATGTTACAACTAAACGAAAAAACATAACGATAAGGAAAAAATTTAAAAGGTCATAAAAAAAACTGACACATACGAATGCCAAACCCCATGAGGCTTTTACTATACTGACCTAGTACCATCACCCTGACTTGGAATTTCTCACCCCTCGGACAATAATCCCAAAAATGTTCCACAGTGTAATTTGAGTAGAGAATTTTTGACAAAATAGTACTTATAGTAGGTGAAGAGTTCGATCCTCACAGGGATCTCACTTGAATAGTTTAGAACGTCAATTTGTTTGTTTGAATACTTATTTAACGGCATACAATTAATACGTTGTTTATCATAATTATTTGCATTACAGGTATTGGCGATCCCTTTCCAATCTTGTGGCATCTTTGTTGAATTCAATACAGTCAATCGCTTCCCTCTTGTTATTGCTATTTCTTTTTATAGTAATATTTGCTCTTTTGGGTATGCAAGTTTTTGGAGGGAAGTTTAATTTTAAACCATCAGAAGAAAAACCTCGTTGGAATTTCGATTGCTTTTGGCAAAGTTTATTAACTGTATTTCAGGTAATATTTGTACATTATATTAATATAATTAAGTTTTAGCCCACACACAGAATATACAAATGAAAATTATGAAATTGGTGCAGCCCTCACAAACCTATACATCGCTCATTTTGAGATGAATTCACATATTTGATATTTTATAATTTATGAGATCAATGTCCTTTTTATTTACCTTTACCAAGTCAAAGGCTTTTGTTTGCATTTAGCTAAGTTAAAACCATTTGTTTACTTTTAAGTGAATAATCTTTAGTTTATACAGCACTATTTGTACATTGAAGTGTTGCATCTACAAATTATTGCAAAGGAACTATAAGAATCCCGGACTTTCAGATACTGAATATGAGTACCTGGGCTTTGCTTTATAAAGAAAATTTCCTGATAATAATGTGAATAGTGCTAAAAATGTATAGAATTCGTATACTATTTTTTCTATCCCCCATATATTAAATTTAATTGTTGTATACAGTCATCGACTGATACCCAAAGCGAACGGTTGCGTTTTGTGCTATTAGTTTTTTTTTTTCTATTCTCTCCTTTTCGTAAGTGCATTCTAACATCAAGAATTTTCATTTAAAGCACGTGTAAAAGTGTGTATATATTATAGTACAGTGAACAACAAGAAAAATGCCTCCAGGGGATCACTCCCTTGGTGATAACAGGTTCTCCCTGTTATCAACAAGTCCCAAATCAAAAAGAAAAAAAATTCAAGCATTTTCCAATAACGATTTCCCAAGCCTTACCCCAACAATAAAAGATAACCCAAGACATTTAGTGCTAAGTGCAACGAACTCTCAGAAACTCATAAACAAATATTCGTGTTTTGCTGTGCACAAAGCGCAGAGCACAGAAATAATAAATATATCAGAACTAAGAGACGGAAAACTTTTATTACTAGTGAAGTAATTAACAATATAGCTCAAAAATTAATATCTATGAAAACTTTATATGGCACTAGCTGGCAATGGTTGCGCGAGGCTTCGCCACGCCCGTCAAAATATGCAAAATAAAAAAA